GCCGTTGCAAACCGAGTGATAAGTTTAAAAAAGCAGATGGACAAGGCAGAAAATTCGCTAAAAGGATCGAATATGTTTCAGAGGCCTAGAGACGTTGCAAGTAGATAGAAGGGCGTCTATGTTCTTCCAAAATGTGAATCTCAACGAAATGGTGATGTGCCTGGAAGACTTGATTAATTACTTTGCTCAACCCGAAGACGACATGGGTAAGCGGTGGCGTTATTAATCACGCGGGCATTGTCTGTTGTTGCAACGGGCTGACAATGGACACGATGATTTTTACGCAGAACACGAAGAGAAGCAGAACAGATTCCGAGCGCTGAGAAATCGTCAGGACCTGTTCCAAGAGGAGGGCATACTGAACTTGATCCTCGAGGCCATCGACAAGATCAACGTGATCACGTCGCAGGGTTTCCTCGTCGCACTTTCCGGAGACGAGAGCGGTCAAGCCTGGGACCAAATATCTGGATACCTGTATCAATTACTGGCAGCCATCATCAAAGGAAATCACACGAATTGCGCGCAGTTCGCCAACAGCAATCGTTTGAACTGGCTGTTCAGCCGATTGGGTTCGCAAGCTTCCAGCGAGGGCACCGGAATGCTGGACGTGCTTCACTGCGTTCTTATCGACTCGCCTGAAGCTTTGAACATGATGAGAGTGAGCATATCTAACCGAGTCAATCGTACGTTCGACAACGTACTTGAAGTTTTCGAATTTCAATGTACCGTCGTATTATTTTCGCAGGACGAGCACATCAAAGTGATCATCTCCTTGCTGGAGAAACACGGAAGGGATCCTAAAGTCTTGGACGTACTTTGCTCGCTTTGCGTGGGCAACGGAGTAGCTGTTCGATCCTCGCAGAACAACATCTGCGACTTCTTGCTACCGGGGAAGAATCTTCTTCTTCAGACGCAGCTGGTCGACCACGTGGCCAGTGTCAGACCGAACATATTCGTCGGTAGAGTGGAGAACTCGGCGCTCTATCAGAAGTGGTATTTCGAGGTCACCGTCGACCACATCGAACAGACTACGCATATGATGCCACATTTGAGAATAGGATGGGCGAATACGGCCGGGTAAGTCGATAGACTGTTATATTTCTGTCACGGAAAATCGCCGCAAGATCAAAACCATCGAAGTCACTTTATTGACACTCGTCGCAAAATTACGTAAGGTGTCGTTGCGTCGTTGGCACTTTATGAGTATTGTTTTATAGCTGTTAAACGTGTGAATAGGTCAGCAAGAAAGTAATCTGATTATTGTGAGCGGTATTGAAACATATCTAAATATTCACGAACGTAGAACGAATACTCTACATATATATATATATATATATGATTATACAGGGTGGTGCAACTAAGAAACTCAAATCTCAGAAAGAAAGAACAAAATTCATTCTCAGTGCAGCCTTCGTTTTCGAGAAAATCGAGTTTAAGAATCTATCAATTATATCTTGGTTAAGTCAGTATTGAACCGACACGAAAATATTCCATGTGCAAAATTGTAGGTGAAAAAATGTAGAATGAAATTTTTTCGTTTCAAGAAAATAGACTTTGAATATGTTTCGCAGTACTTTGATCTTTCAAAGTCAATCTTTTTCTCGAAAACGAAGGCTTTAAAGGAGAAACTTTGTTCTTTCTTCTCGACTCATTTTTTTTTTTTTT